CAAAAAGTGCCTGAGGTACAAAGAAGACAACATATTCGGTGGTGAAATGTTTAAGCTGAACATAGTGCTAATGGAACTGAAGTAAGCATAAAAATATAATTCCCAGCTAGGAAGAAATCTTCAGTTCTAAGACCTTGTATCTTCTCCATTGCATGAACTTTCAATATAATAATAAGTTTGATAAGTTTTTTATAGCAGTGGAAATATATTTCTAATCACAATTTAAATTTTATTGAAATCATTAAAAAAATTTATGGGGAAAAAAAGCAGTGTCCTGCAAACAGTGCCCTGCAAACAGTTCCCGGGAGACAAAGAAGAGAGCATCCTTGGATAGGAGGAGAAATGTACAAATTTAACATTTTCAACAAAGTGCTGACTGGAACTGAAGTAAGCAGGTAACTAGAATCATTAGCTGGGAAGAAATCCTCAGTTCTTAGACCTCATATCTTTTACATTACATCAACTTTATATTATTATATTATACTATTATAATATGATGTTTAGGATAATTTAATAATTAACTTATTCCACAGTGCCCAGTGGGAACAGTATTTCTAATCACAATGTGAAGTTTATTGAAATTTTGTAATGAGTTTCTAATTTGAAATCTTTAATTGCAATAAGATTGGAAATAAAAGGAGAAGTGATGGTGCCAATTTAATGATATGACTGATCCAATCTCCTAGTAATACCTGTTCAAATGGTACTATTATTAACAAGATGGGATGGAATGTTGAATGGGTAGCAGTAGGTTAAGTGTAATCCTTAAAAAATCTATAAGTAAGCAAAATACAGTAAGTAAAGTAAATCATATTGCAATGAAATATTTATCATTGTGTTGATAAAAGTAGAGCTAATTTTATTTAATCACTATTTTCAACACTGTTGTTGACAAGGCTAATTAAGAAATAATTAGAAGTTGGGCTCAGATAACGATCTTGTCTTTTAATCTCGGGCAGTAATACCGGTTCAAATGGTACTATCATTAACAAGATGTGTTGGAATGTTGAATGGGTAGCAGTGAATAAAGCGTGCTAAAAATACCAACTGGTCTTGCAAGCACGCTAATTATTCTTTAAATATCTATAAGTAAGCAAAATACAGTAAATAAAGTAAATTATATTGCAATGAAATATTTATATTGTGTTAATAAAAGCAGCTGTATCATCTCAAAGTTTAAAGATGAAGTTTGCTTCTCTTGTACAGTTCGTTTGACACTACTAGATAACCTAAAAGCAGATACTGGGCTGAAGTCAGTAGATGAGATAGCTAAACTGATGGAGGACAGAAAGCTGTGGAGAACTGTTGTCAATGGATCTCGGGAATACCACCCGCCTTAAGTCAGTCAAGTAAGTCAAGTACAGTTCGTGTACTTAGTAAATGTAACTGTAGGCTTTTCTAAAAAAGCCTACAGTTTTTTTTTTCAGCTCGAAAAACTCCGAGCTGAAAAAAATAAAGATTGTTTTGAGGGTCAAACGTTCTACAATTGCAGAATCAAATAGGCAAACTTGGCATTTCCAGTGGGTGCAAATACTAATGAAGAAGTTTTCAGCAGCGAGGCGTAAATATTTGAATATTATGCGAGGTAATTCAATAAACACCCTCTATGCTCGCATATTATCGATACCGAATATATACACACTAAACACTGGCACCCAATGTAAGTGTTCAAATGGTACTATTATTAACAAGATGGGATGGAATGTTGAATGGGTAGCAGTAGGTTAAGTGTAATCCTTAAAAAATCTATAAGTAAGCAAAATACAGTAAGTAAAGTAAATCATATTGCAATGAAATATTGATCATTGTGTTGATAAAAGTAGAGCTAATTTTATTTGATCACTATTTTCAACACTGTTGTTGACAAGGCTAATTAAGAAATAACTAGAAGTTGGGCTCAGATAACGATCTTGTCTTTTAATCTCGGGCAGTAATACCGGTTCAAATGGTACTACCTTATCGGACCTTATTTGGACGGACATTACTTGAACGCTGGAGGCCCTAGCGTTCATCTTAATGTCCGTTCAAATAAAGTCTGTTCAATTAATGTCCGTCCAACCTAAAGTCCGTTGAAATTTGTTCAAAAATGTTTCCATTTCGAACTTTTTGTCCAGAATATGACAACTATGAGAACTTTATTGTGCCGTAAGTTAACGACGGAAAGGTTCTCCTTGGTCTGCCGGAGGCACAGAAAACTCTACTAGTATATGATCTTTTCAAGGGTCACTTGGCGGAAAAAGTCAACGAAAATATAGCACTCAACAACATAGTTCATGAGCTAGTCCCCGCCAACATAACATGACAAACTTGTTCCAGCCTCTAGATATTACGGTAAATCGTGTTGCCAAGGACATTGTCCGACGTTGTTATAGTTCATATTACTCAGGGGAGGTAATGAAACAGTGTTAGGAAAGCTCCACGTGATGTTAAGGTTAACCTAAAGTTGTCTAAGATAAAACCACTTACCGCCGAATGGCTTGTAAAAGTTAACACTGAAATGCAGGACTGGGGTAGTTTGATAAAAAAGGTTTCCATAAAGCTAGAAATCACTGATGCTTTAAGCATGGACTATTTCATGCACGAAAACCCATTTGATGAAGATGATATGTGATATTAGACACTGATCATCATCATGTACACATACTTTAACATTTTTACTGTTTAATGACTGCTTTTCTTACTTACTGTATAAAAAATGGATTTAAAAATCATTTGATGAAATTGAAAAAAGTCAAAAAAATTCGGATTTTTGATGGTTTTGAATGCCTTCGAGCGTTCATATTAATGTCCGTTCATAATTATGTCCGTTCATGTAATGTCCGTCCAAATAAGGTCCGATAAGGTATCATTAACAAGATGTGTTGGAATGTTGAATGGGTAGCAGTGAATAAAGCGTGCTAAAATACCAACTGGTCTTGCAAGCACGCTAATTATTCTTTGAATATCTATAGTAAGTAAGCAAAATACAGTATGTAAAATAAATTATATTGCAATGAAATATTTATATTGTGTTAATAAAAGCAGTTGTATCATCTCAGCAGTCAGTACACTGTCGAGGGTACAGTATAGATATACATTAGCGTGTAGGAACTCCTAGTCTCATATTACTATGTTTCAATATACTATAGCTATCAATCTATCATACTATGTTATATCTATTGAAGAGCGAAACAGGTTATATGTATCGACCCTTCAATCGTGTCTAATTAATTGAGAAAAACTGCAAATATTCTAAAATTAACCACTGTCACTGCCTCAAATTTTAAAGATGAAGTTTGCTTCTCCTGTACAGTCCGTGTACTTAGTAAATGTAACTGTAGGCTTTTCTATCAGAATTAGAAGTTAAATAAACTTGGAAAAACTCTGAGCTGAAAAAAAATAAAGATTGTATTGAGGGTCAAACGTTCTACAATTGCAGAATCAAATAGGCAAACTTGGCATTTCTAGTGGGTGCAAATACTAATGAAGAAGTTTTCAGCAGCGTAAATATTTGGATCTTATACGAGGTAATTCAATAAACACCCTCTATGCTCGTATTGATCAATCATTATCAATATCGAATATATACACACTAAACATTGGCACCCAATGTAAGTAATACGACACCTATAAGGTCGGAGACAGTGAGTATGAGATTCACACTTCTAGAGCTCTAGTAACATCGATAAAAGTGAGAAAGTAGACTATCTGAGTGTAAGAACTGTTGGTCGGTACCAAATAAGTGAAAGCAATTTTAGTAAGATATAGTACATCTTAGCACATGAAAGTTTAAAATCGTACCGTGCAGCGTACATGATGTGTTCTGTTGAAGAGACGTCACGTTTCACAGATAAATTATACAATCTTTCCGTGGGTTTCAATAGGTATTTGAAACTTGAATCGAGATGATTCTTGGATCATTAGGAACCTGAAAGGATTGTGATCAAAATGAGCAGTGATTTTAAGATTAAATGTCAGTATTTTATTTGTAATAATTCTGTTAAGACGCGAAATTCGAATTTTTCCCACGCTTAATCAAATCCCAGAATTTCTAACTCCCCGATAAAATGTATCTATTAAAAACTCAGCTCTCTATTTCTGTATTTGAACATGGTGTGATAGGACTGACTACGTGGCCGTCTATATATACTTATTTTCATAGAAACGGAAGAAATATTTGACGCTTATCCGAAAATGAGTGTCGTAAATGAGTTACAGCAGCAATGCATACGGCTACCGGAGTTGGTAAGCCAAAAGTATAATTCAAATAAGGGGGGGGGGGGGGGGGGCGGGGGGATTAAAATTAGAGTAAAACTATCCCATCACCAAGTTTGAGTCACACTTAGCGAAATGTGCAATATTTTAAGTGTCGAATTCAAGAATGGGATTTCTTGTGGCTTATGCTATGGTGATGTTGCTATGGTGATGTTGAGTGGAGTACTGAGCCGCATGCAACCACGCGTAGCCGCATGCAACCTTGCAATTTGAGACAGAACTGTTAGTAACCAGTTCTTGTTTTCTGGTTATTGAGTGAGTGATTACTAATCCTGAAGTAGTTTACACTTGCCGTCTCGCTTGCTAATCGCTTTTTCAATGATTTGGACCGTTTTCAACCGTTTTCATTAATGTGTGACATTAAATTGATACAAGTCCTATTAAACATTAAAATGGTAAAGGCTGTAGTCATAAAATCCGAGTGTTAAATATCTGACAATTCATGTTGTAAAGTAAGTTGTTTTCAAAATGTTGTCTCATTGGCATAATAACAGCCGGAGATCTCATAACAGGTTTGCAAAGGCAGCCCACATCACCACTTTTAAGACCAACATGCCTCAACTTTTGTAGAGTGTCTGACCCTTCATGGACAAACTGATATTCGGTTAACAAACGACACAGTTGCTGCAATCTCATGTAAGATTGGCTATCTGTCTCACATAAGACCTTTATAATGACTTTTACTTTAACGAGAACAATCTTAACTAGTAAAGTAGTAAGCTTGCTAAATAAGAGACGGAACTATTGAAAAAAAGCAGACGAATCAATAATTTCAGCAAAAAGAAATAAAATCAATTTATCATGATTGATAGTGTTTAGTCAATGATAATACGGTAACACTAACAGTATTAGATATGTATATATATTATATATACACATTAAATGGGAATCTTAATTTGGGCTTAACATGCAAACTTGAGTTCAATAATATATGAAAATGTTTGCACTTACATAACACCTAAATAATATCTAATCGATTTAAATGGTATGTTAATTTTGATTTGTTTAGTTTTGGTTCAATTTACCCTAACGATGCTGCATATATTTATCTTGAAACTTCGGGTTCGGAAGCCCTGCATTTTACTTGTATATCGTTCCAACTCATACTTAGTCGTTAACACTTAACACTCAAATATCCTTTTGGTCTAAAACAAACAATTAAGTCGAAAACCTAAAAAACAAAATTAAGGAACGTGCATGCTAGTCCAGCTGTAGTTTCAACACGCAATTTGGGTGCAATTTCAACACGTATATCCCACAGCGATCCACTCGACGTTCCAGCCCATCTCATTGGCGCCCCCACTCTGCCCACTCGGTGCTAACAAGTATATCGTGAAACTAGTGGCAGTTGCACTGTAAATCTCAGAGCTCCCTGTGGTGCCCCAGTGAGCGGTGGAACCCTCCAGAGACGTGGTTACAGTTGGAATTGTCACAAAGCCACACTTGCTAATGTCTACGTTAGTGTAGATGCCGGTAGTACTGTAATCCACCCAGTTGGTAGCCCCTCTGACGGAGGTCCCGGCGCATACTTTAGCACAGTTGTCATCTCTGAGGTCCTCCTCTCCGCTCACCACCATCACGTCTATCTTCTTGCTGTGGTGATGTGTGTTCAATATCTAATATTATCATAGTTCGTGGTACGTTAAGACCACTTTAACTTAATATTTAAGTTAAATATTTCAACATATCACATAACGATATAAATCGCAATTTTATTTTATCATAACATCTTTGAAACAATTTTGCAGAAGTTAATTTGTGGATCATGGTCTTACCCTGTGTAAGTCCGTCAAATAATACTTTGTAGTCTAAGAGCTAAATTCACACGTAACGGTAGAATTAGAATATTTGCCTCAATGCGAACATATATATATTCGAAAAACAACCAAAACTACCATTATAATCTGACTAAATTTACCTTGATCTCTTTGGATTACTATTAGCTTCTTTCAGTGCTTCAACATCTTTGGCTAATTGGTCTTGCGTTGCTGTGAATTTCGCTTCAAGCTCCTCAAACTGTTTTTGGGCTTCCTCTTTTCCACCCAATGTAGCGATTGTGCTTTTTAAATTCTGGATATCATCCTTAACTTCGTCTACGAAGTTTGATTTCTCGAGAATTGATCCTTCAAGTGCTTGAATATCCTTGGTGAATTTGTCTTCATATGCTGCAAATTTCCCATCAAGCTCCTCAAACTCTTTCTGAACTTCACCTTTTTCTCCTATGGTTGCTATCTTACTTTTTAAATCCTGGATATCATCCTTGGCTTCGTCTATGAAGCTTGATTTCTCGAAAATGGATTCCTTCAGTCCTTGAATGATCTTGACCAATCTTTCTTCAGATGCCGCCAACTTCCCCTCAAGCTCCTCGATGCCTCTCTCAGCTTCGTTCACGTAGTTGGTGATGTCAAATATCCGCTGTGTCTGCTGTTCAACCAGACCAGTTAGGGATATAGTGGTCTGCATTGAAGACACCAATAGTTCACGCAACTCCCCAACAGAAACTAGAGTACCACCTGCTCCAGCGCCTGCTCCAGCGCCTGCTCCAGAACTTGCTTCGTCACCAGCACTCGCACCTGAGCTTGCACCAGCACTCGATTTGCTGGAAACGAGCACAATGGCCACAGAGAGAAGCATCAATTTCAGGAATGCCATAATTCTGTAGAGAAATAAATGGTAATTAGAGGTAAATAATTAATAATATGTTATTGGATAAATTAAGAAAATCAAAAACGTGTAACGATTAATAATGATTGTTGTATGTAATGATTATCATATTCGACAATGTTGAGTGTTCAAAATCTCTGATAGTATCACATTTTTGCGATAAAGAAATAAACTCATTATTTTTAGAAAAGAAAATAGTCAACGTTTCAATGTAACGAACTACACTATATTTATATTGAACTATAAACGTATTAGTCAAAAATTCAAAACATACAAAGTAAAATCTGAGACAAAGTTAGTTAAGTATGTAATTATCAATTTATAATTTGCCGTATGATGTCAATATCGGCCCTTTTCTAACAAAAGTGCTCTGAGACAATTTTTCAAATTTTGGATTCTTTTATTCAAATATACGTTTTGGGTCAAGAACTATCCTTGTAAACGGTCAGAAACAAATGCCAGCCCCCAGAAACCTCCTTTGGAGCCCCCTAAAATGCGAAAATTGGCCAAAAATGTGACAAAAGAATTTAAAATCTCGAATTTTGGAGTGGATTTAAGTGCTTTTGTCAGAATACGTCAAAATTGTATTTTGATGAAGGTTGTAGGGGTTGAGGTGTCATTAAATATATTTGGACAGAAACCTCAAAATTTTCAATTTGTCCTCGATATCCTCCTTTGCTTCCTCCACGAAGATTGATTTCTCGAGAATGGATTTTTCCACTGCTTCAATATCTTTGGCTAATTTCTCTTCTGATGGGGCGAATTTCCCTTCAAGTTCCTCGATTCCCCTGTGAGTTCCATCATTTCCTCCAAAGGTCGCGAGCTTAATTTTCAAATCTTCGATATCCTTCTTTGCTTTGTCCACCAACCTTGATTTCTCTATAACAGATAGTTTCAGCTCATTCATGCGATTGTCCAATCTGTCCTCCGATGCCTCGAATTTCTTCTGTGTCTGCTGTTCAACTAAAGCTGTTAAAGATAAAGTAGTCTGCATGGAAGCCACCAGTAGTTCCCGCATCTCCTCAACAGAGATAAACTCTGCCTGGCTGAAGTACAGCACAATCGCCACAGACAGCAGCATAAATTTTAATAATGTCATATTTCTGCAGAGAGTTTGGTGGTGGTAAGAGAATGAGATATTGGTATAAGAAAATCAAAAACGAATTAAACAAGTGTGTAGTAGCTTTACTTGTAGTACTCAAAAAGTGATTTAAATATCATTTTCGAATTAAACTTCTGTGATTATGTAGAACTATAACTGCCATAAAAACTAAAATCAAAATGTTGGTACTCAAAACGGAGTCTGAGCATCAATAACGACATTCAGATGTGTTTGATTGAAGACTGTTACTTCTCCTATTACATTCCATGTTGACATCTGCCTCATGAAAATGTTAGTTTATCCAATGTAGCCCTTCCCGCAAGAAAAAGTTGAACGAAATCAACGTCAAATTGAAAAATACTGTACGCAGCAAGAGTCAACACAAAGAACTGAAGTACGAAAATGTATAGCATCCCAACACTGTGAAGATGCAAATTGATCAGCATCCCAACACTGTGAAGAGTATTAGGTGGTAATGTAAAGAGTATTAGGTGGTAATGCCACTCTAGCTCGCTACTAGCTAACACCACTTACATGCACTTTCCTCCTCAAACGACGTGGCAACCTACAGACGTTACTAGACGTAAATCATGATATATACAATAACATTGTTAGGCGGACTAACAGGAATCAAGTTCGACAGCTGTCTACTAATTACCCGTAAGAGAGAGAGCCGACCCCGCCCCCACAAATGCCCGTCTTTGATCAGGTAATCAGTAATAGTGATCTAGATACTTTCAGACTTTGATGTGGTTCAGTCAGATTGACAGGAACACCACCCACGTGGTATGACGTCACACGACTCACGTGGTATGACGTCACACGATTCACGTGGTATGACGTCACACGATTCACGTGGTATGACGTCACACGACTCACGTGATATGACGTCACACGACTCACGTGATATGACGTCACACGACTCACGTGGTATGACGTCACACGACTCACGTGGTATGACGTCACACCACCCACGGGGTACGACGAAACCAAGTTTCACAAAAAAATCAGGGTGAACACAAGAATAGAAATCTTATTCTTAGGAATTTCCTAAGAATAAGATTTCTGCAACTTGTGCAATATTCAGATATTTATATAACATAATGATCTGCATAATAAATATTATATTACATATATGGGGTCGTTCACATATATTGCGTGGGCCTTATAATATGCAATAATAAATATGATCTCATAAGAATATTATATTTTTGTTTATATTCCATAATTAATGTTCTTGTTGCCCATTCTTTTTCTTTTTTCTTCATTCATGAAGCTTCTTTTCTTATCTGTCTTTTTGTTGTTTTCGGTCAAGTGTTAAAGTCAATTCGGAAAATTTAAAGGTCAAGTGATTGCAGGTAAAAATACCAAGCTCTCTCCTACACCCATATTCACACAGCACACTCTCGTAAAGACAGGATGCACTCCCCAAAACCAAGGAGGCACTCCACAGGGGGTGCCGGGGGAGGGGAGGGGAGGGGGGTCATGAGTAATTTTGGGAATTTTTGAATCTGAGAATTTAACCACCATTTGCCCACTATGTTTTTTTTCCTTTTTTGTCCCGTAATTTTTGTCCCGTTTGGAAAAACTGACAAAAAAGACAGAAAAAGACAAAAAAAGAAATACTAGTGAATCGCGGGATGAACAAGAAGCTGGAGGCCACATGTACCTGTTGAGTTATATATACAACCCGTGGCTGGCGACGTGTTTATTTAGGTGATCCCTGAAGTGGGAAGGATCTCCATCGTGTTTCTTTTAGTTCTATTACAAATTACACGGAGACCTGGAGTTTTGTATTGGAGAGTCTAGGATGTTTCGAACTTTTATCATATTTATGTCTTCTTCCGATTATAAAATACCAACTTGAATTTACAAATTCTTTGAATGTTCAGCAAGATGGAGCAGCAATGTTTACCAGAGTTGAAAGATGAGATGAAGATGGAAGAAGATATTTTACTGTCAAATTTGGTTCAGAGAGATATCAAGAAGGAAGAAAATGATAATCTGACAGGTTTGAAAGATGAAATGAAGGTGGAAGAAGATATTTTACTGTCAAATTTGGTTAAGAAAGATATCAAGAAGGAAGAAAATGATAATCTGACAGGTTTGAAAGATGAAATGAAGGTGGAAGAAGATATTTTACTGTCAAATTTGGTTAAGAAAGATATCAAGCAGGATCAGGAGGAGGATTCTTTTCTACTCAAATCAGAAACGTATTCGAATCCTACTCCCCAAATAGAATCTCTTATCCATGAATCATTCACGGAACATAACCAACACCACAATTACAAGATAGCTGGTGACAAAATCAAAGACCGAAAATACTCTCAAAGTGGACAAAGCAATGCTGATTCAAAACTCCTCCAAACTTCTGTAGCCAGCATTGAGTTTGATATACAGGATCATGCCAGTGGCAAACTTTATAAATGTTCTGAATGTTCCTACATTGCTAACTGTAAATCTAAATTAGTTTGCCATCTGCGGACACATACCGGAGAAAAGCCTTATAAATGTTCTGAATGTTCCTACATTGCTAACTGTAAATCTAAATTAGTTTGCCATCTGCGGACACATACCGGAGAAAAGCCTTATAAATGTTCTGAATGTTCTTACAGGGGTAGCCAGAAAGCACACTTGGTTTGCCATCAGCGGACACATACCGGAGAAAAGCCTTATAAATGTTCTGAATGTTCTTACAGTGGTAACCAAAAAGCATCTTTAGTTTCACATCAGCAGACTCATACCGATGTAAAACCGTACAAATGCTCTGAATGCTCATTCAGTGCTAAACGGAAATCAAACCTGGTTAAACATCAGCGGACTCATACCAGTAAAAAACCGTATAAGTGCTGTGAATGTAACCACTGTGCAAGCCAAAAAGCAGCTTTAGTTTCACATACCGATGGAAAACCGTACAAATGCTCAGAATGCTCATACCGTGCTAAACGGAAATCACACCTGGTTAAACATCAGCAAACTCATACCGGTGAAAAACCGTATAAATGCTCAGAATGCTCATACAGATTACGCCATAAATCAAGCTTGTTGAGTCATATGAAGATTCATATATCCAACAGGAGAAACGGACGCAAGGAGAGTGAGGACTTAGATCCCTTGGCTCACGTACCTTCACGTACCTCAGGGAGACAGGCTTCGATTTCAACAGAAAACTGCAGCACTGAAGGGCCCATTTTCGTAAAGCCCCTACCTTTCGTAAAGCCTCTAACATTTGTTAAGCCCCTTTTCTCGAGTTCTAGTTGTTCTACTACTTATCTAACGGAACCTCCCCCGGAACAATAACAAGCTCCTCTCACCCTCTCACCCTCTCACCCTCTCACCCTCTCACCCTCTCACCCTCTCACCCTCTCACCCTCTCACCCTCTCACCCTCTCATCCTCTCACCCTCTCACCCTCTCACCCTCTCACCCTCTCACCCTCTCACCCTCTCACCCTCTCACCCTCTCACCCTCTCACCCTCTCACCCTCTCACCCTCTCACCCTCTCACCCTCTCACCCTCTCACCCTCTCACCCTCTCACCCTCTCACCCTCTCATCCTCTCACCCTCTCACCCTCTCACCCTCTCACCCTCTCACCCTCTCACCCTCTCACCCTCTCACCCTCTCACCCTCTCACCCTCTCACCCTCTCACCCTCTCACCCTCTCACCCTCTCACCCTCTCACCCTCTCACCCTCTCACCCTCTCACCCTCTCACCCTCTCACCCTCTCACCTACACACTCTACAACATATCCTCCCCTCTCATATCTCCTACAATCACCCTAAGTGACCCTGTATCATGTCGTACAGTTGTCATGGACAATTAACTTATACTTTACTTATACTTTACAGTATTTTGATTTTTAAGTGCATGTAATATGGTGTTTCACGAAGTAATGGTACAGTTTTGTTACATTTCCGTATACCAGTTTCTGGAGCAATATAAATTGATTTTTTCTGAATCAACTCGGTGATGACAATGTCATAATGAAAGTAAGTAGATCACATTATGAAATTCCAGGTTTTATTCCCTGTATTCGAGAGTTAAAAATTTGCTTCAATCATGTATCAAAATGTTGTCATAGTTCTCGAAATTCTGTTAACTCATGTCACTCTATCCAGAGTTGTGGTCAAAACCTATAACGGTTGCAGAACCATGAGAACCTTGGCGTGAATAGTGCTGAAAGTGTAAAACAAACAAAAAAATCTATTTGCATTTGGAATTTAACGAATTTCACGTTCAATTTCCAAATTCTTACACAGATATTATTATATCAGGTGCGGCTTTTATTTTACACGCTTTGGTAGTTTCATATTTAAAAAATAGACATACCCTTTTAGAGAACAGCCAGTCGGTCTCATAAAGCAAACGTCTCGTCAACCCCCACTTTGGAGCTGTAGTTCAGGCAACCTGTAAATTTATTATTTATGTGATCGCGATTGGCAAGAGGTCCAGGAACAGGTGTTCGCGAAAACCTGTCGGGCTAGTAGTTGGATACTGCAAAATTTTGGAAAGAATATTATAAATTCTAAAAAATATGTGTTCGGAACTCGCGTGCCCCAGTAAGCAAATTTAAGCAAAAAATTATACTTCGCGCGTTACAAATTCTAACATCGATTTTCGTCAAAACTTTATCCAGATCCTAATGAATGATTTATTTATAACTTTCCAGATAGTTATATAGCCATAATACGGATAATCTGTGCAAGTTTGGGCGAATTTCTATGTACCAAATTGGAGATATCTGTTCAAAGAAAATATCTCCTAATCGGTACAATATGTGGTACCAAGGCATATAACAGAAAATTTACAAGAAGACCCTAGAAACTGACTAGAGAGCGTCTGAGACTCCCTATTCTGGAACTGTCCCAGAATAGGGAGTCTCAGCTCCTGGACCACAGTGGAACCAGTGTCAAATTTACTATGAGTCGTCAAGGAGTTGATATATTCACTTGTGAGTTGTGTGGAGTACTCTGTTCCA